CCCCAAAACCCCAAAACCCCAATACGAAGGATAAGAGTGTCGATGAATCATTTTTGAATATTGACATCATCAATAGATTTATATTAATCACTAAATATTTAATCAGTAATTGTCACTTTAGTTTTTGTAACAAGTTTCAATCAGTCTCTTCGTCTTCCTTGATAATTTCAAGGGTCTAGAAGAAGCCCTGACTCATTTAATATACACTGTTAGATCTTCTTTGTTTTGATAAAATGTTCCTACATTACTCCATTGGATTAATTTTATTAGCATTATTGGCAATTTATTATTATCTTTATGTGCTCTATGATTTTTATTATTGAAGAGGTCTTTGCTAAACTTGAGAATCTTTCATTCTTGGCTGATTCTTATTTTCCTATTGCTTTAGTGTATTTATTGTAGGAGCTTCATTCTGATTACTATCTATAAATTATATAGTTTTTACCATTTGATATGTTGAGAAGGACGAATTTTAGTTCTACTATTACTTAGGATGTGAACCTGAGTTCTATCTTTGTAGTCTTATACCCATATTATTATCAGAATTTTAATCCTCTATTGATTTTTCTCTCTTACTCTTTGTTGGAAATTTATATCCAGAACTAAATGATGAAGAAGGTGCTTTTATTGAACTTGTGTTATTCTTATCACTTTAACTACCTTCTTCCTCAGCAGAAGTATAGTTAGATCCCCTTCTACTATTTCCAGCTCTTGAAGAATTGTTGCTGCTCTTATCAGTAAAATAAGGCTGCTAAGTGCGTATAAATTATGACTTGGTGATTTGCTTAGTCTTGATCCTCTGGGGATCCTTATCATTACTAAACATTTATTAGATTTCGATTCCTTCTGTTGAACTGATTGATTCTGTCCTCTCTATTACTTATGTAATTCTCATTTGATTTAGTGAGTCATTAGCATTCTTAGGCTCCTCGAGGTATTTTTCAATAAATTTGAACAGCAACTCTTTCAATCTCTTTTTGTCAAGCAGAATTTATAAAATTTGACTTCCCATTGCAAAACCTATTAGAATCACGACTAAGGCTATTTTCTTATATTGAGGATTAATTCCGAACATTAATTTCTAAACCTATAGAAAATGATATGGAATAATCATTATTTATTACGAAAGGAGTGGTAGATGCTGCTCTGTAAATGAGATAGAGAATAAGTGAATTTTTAATGGTCTACCACATTTCAATACAAATATTATTTATTTCTCACAAACACAAGATTCGATCAATTGGGAGCTTGTGGGGTTTTGGGGTTTTGGGGTTTTGGGG